GACCCACCCTCCCCACCCTCTCCAGCTTCTTGGCTTGTTTGGGTTTCCTCCTTTGAGAGCTGAGGTTCTTTGCCTGTGTTTTTATTGGAGGTTTGACTTTCTGAGAAGTATTCTGAATACAAAGGCTTTTGTTCTTCCCTCTTCTCCCCTTTCTTTAAAAAAAATTACTGCAATGTTATTATTTCATGTGTGTGTTTGGGCACACACGTGCTATGCTGCTCATGTGGAGGTCAGAGGACAACTTGCAGGAGTCTGTTCTCTCCTTCTACCCTGTGGAATCAAATTGAGGTCATCAGGCTTGGCGGCAGGCACTCTTACTGGCCGAGTCATCTTGCTGACCCTCTCCTCTCCTCTCCTCCTCCTCCTCCCTCATCTCCTCTTTCCTCTTTCCTTTCCTCTCTCCTCCTTGCTGTGTAGACCTGGCTGGCCTCTCACAGAGATCTGCCTACCTCTGCCTCCCAGGCGCTGACATCAAAGGCATGCCGTCAGGTCCAGAACTTTTTGACTTTAAAAAAATTTATTTTTTAATTTTATGTGTATGAGTGTATTGCCTGCATGTGTGTAAGTGCACCTGGGTCATGCAGTGCCCATGGAGGTCAGAAGACAGAGTTGGAACTGGAGTTATGGACAGTTGTTAGCCTCCATGCCATGTGGGCACTGGGAACCAAACCCAGGTCCTCTGCAAGAGCAGCCAGTGTGCTTATCCGCTGAGCCCCTCTCCAGTTCAGGTTTTTTGGTTTCTGAGATGGCTCCAGTTTCCTCTCTGTTGCTGTGATAAACACCATGACTGAAAGCAACTGTGGGAGGAAGGAGTTTATTTCAGCTGTGAAAGAAAGTTCCCAGAAAGAACTCCAGCATCTTGGTCTGAATTTCCTTAAAGGTTGGCCAACTGATTAGCACTCCGGAGATTGTGCAGAGTCTGGAATGTTGCAGATCCAGAGCCTATTCACAAATCATCTGGGAACACCTTTAACCCCATAAATAGCCACACCTTGCTTACCTGTTTCTGAATTAACATTCTTGTGACTAATAAAATGTATTAATTTAGCAGACCACGAGGTCCCACCAGTAAAAAAAGCTAAGAATGTCATCAGATAGCATCTAGATCTATAGTAGAATCCCCCCCGCCGCCTGCTTTGCCATGACTTGCCTACTGAATGTATCTACCAGTGTACTTGAAAGTGTCTTGATTTATGACTTTTCTTTGTTCTGTTACTATAAAAATGTAATGTAACTGTTACCACGCTGGAACATGGAATTTGGGGTAACCTGAAACTGTGTTCCTGGGCCATGGTCACTCATATTTGTCTCCAGAATAAATTATCTCCTATCCCCTTTGAGGTGAGAGTCATGCTTTTGCGTTGACACAGCCTACAGATTGCAATCCATCATCTAGGAAAGCTAGGGCTAGAAATCAAGGGAGGAACCTGGAGGCAGGAACTGAAGCAGAGACCATGGAGGAACGCTGTTTACTGCTTTGCTTCCCGGGCTTGCTCAGTTACCTCTCTTATGCAGACCAGGCCCATCTGCAGTGGAATGGGCCCTCATACAAAAATTGGCAATAAGAAAACACCTTCCAGACATAGCAACAGGCCAATCTGATGGAGGAAATTCTTCAAATAACATCCCTTCTTCCCAGGTGTGTTGAGGTTTGTATCAAGTTGACAAAAACTAACCAGCCCAGACAGAATCTTGTTATGTAGACCAAGATGGCGTCAAATTCACTATGTAGCCCAGGCTGGCTTTGAATTCTTGGCAGCAATCCTCCTGCCCACAGCTTCCTGAGTGCTCAGATTATAGGCATGCACCACCACACCTGGTATAGTTTGTGATTACAGAGATCTGATGGAATATTTTCTTATGCAATTTATTCATTTGGTTACATTATGTGAGTACTGTAGCAAGTACTGACTGCTAGACTTTCAGATATGAACTAAAGTGTGTGGCTGTGTATAGTACCACAGATACACTGCACATACTACAGTTGGACTGCACACAATACTTTCAGTGCCTGTGCCCATCCCTCCCTCTGCCTGAATCAGTGATCCTTTCTGTGCCCTCTGTAGTATAGCCTTTTCCAGATGTCATGTAGTTTCTCTTCTTATAACTCTATCACTTTGAAATGAGGTCTTTCTCACTGTGTTGCCCAGGCTGGTCTTGAGCTCCATTTGGGTTCATGTCATCAGTCTTTTGAGTAGCTTTTCTTATCTTTTTATTTTTAAGACAGGGTCTCATGTAGTCCAGGCTGGCCTTCAACTTGCTATATAGCTGAGGAT